AAAAGGCCATAATGAAAGCCCTGGAAACTACAGGCCTATAAGCCTGACCTCAGTGCATGTGAAAGTCAAGGTCATGGAGCAGATCACCCTATGTGCACACAGCATGTTTTGGAAAACAGAGCCATCAAGCCCAGTCAGCACAGATTCATGAAGAGCAGGTCCTGCTCAACCAACCTGATCTGCTTCCATGACAAGGTAACCTGCCTGTTTGATGAAGGAAAGGCTGTGGACATTGTCTTCTTGGACTTTGGTAAAGCATTTGACACTGCCTTCCAAAGTGTTCCCTGGAAAAACTGGCTGTTCATGGCCTGGATAGGTGGATTCTTTGCTGGGTTAAATAGTGGGTAGATGGCTGAGCCCAAAGAGTGGTGGTAAATGGTGTCACATCTAGTTAGCAATCAGTCACTAGTGGTGTCCTTCAGTGCTCGGTACGAGAGCCAAAGTTTTTTTGGTATCTTCACTGGTGATCTGGATAAGGGAGTTGAGTGCACCCTCAGTAAACTTGTAGATGCACCAAGTCAGGTGGGAGTGCTGGTCTGCTTAAGGACAGAGAGTCTCTGCAGAGGGTGCTGGTCAGGCTGGATCAATGGGCTGTGGCCAAGGGTATGAAGTTCAACAAGGCGAAGTGCTGGGTCCTGAATTCGGAGGTTCAACTTGACATTAAAGTCTTTTCCAATCTAGTTGATTCTATGATTCTATAATCAGTCAAAATACAATGCATTTTCTAACATTAAATTTCTTTTTACCTAGTTAGAGCCACTCATCTGAAAAGCAATTATCAGAGTAGAACAGTGCTAAGGTAATTGGCTAGCTCCCACAACTAAGGATTACCTTATGTAAAGCCTGACTGGTATCTGAGGAGAACGATACTTGCCCATTTTGTACCTTTCTACTGTTATATTCTTGTCTTTATGACTACTTTTAACCTTGGGCAGTGTTACAAGTGAAAACTGGAGTGTTTTTACTCCTCTGAAGGTAATGAATCAAAAAAAGCAGTGGTAAATGCCTGAAATCCAAGGAAAACATGAGGACTGTGGAAGCAGCTTTTATTATTGCACCAGTGTCATGTGTGTAGTATTACATAACTACATAATATACAGAATAATATAATATCACTAATGGTAATACACAGCAGTATAATAACAAATAATTAAGCAATAACATAATTAGTATATTGTATATACAACAGAATACGCATATCAAGTGTTTTGTGCATTAGGAATTTGCAAAGGCTAAGATTAATTCTTTCTGGAAGTTAGGTTTTGTTTTGTTGGGGGGTTTTTTTGTTTGTTTGCTTTTTGGTTTGGTTTGGGTTTTTTTTTTTTTCTATAGCCTTTTATCACATTTCTTCAAGGTATTACTTCTTTAAAGGCTGGATTTTCAGAGTGTGTGCAATTTGCACAAAAACCCAACCTACATTTATAAAAAGTATTCCTTGCTTCTGCTTTGGTAAATCCTTACAAATCTTTCTCATAAAATAAACCCATACTTAGACAGAAGCCCACAAACACAGACATGTACATGCTTACACTGTAATTGCAGGCACAAAGACAAGTGAAATAGAGATAGGCAAATACAAGAGAAGCAGAATCATTTACATGGAAAGATGCAGACACATTATACAGCGGAAAACTAGTAGTGGATATCTATGTCATAAGTAGTCGCATTTCAGTGCTCTCATTTCAGCTATTTGCATGCAAAAGTGAAACAGCATTAGCATAACTACTCTGCAATAGGGCATAACTGCTGGAGCAATATAAAACTCATACATTGCGAAAAACATACGTATACAAAATTTCTGCAATAACGTCAACAGAAAAAGAGACCAAAACCAACAACCAAAGATCTAAAAGATTTTCTGAAGGAGGAGGGTTAAAAATTTGAGTTCAGTAAAGCTCTGACATCTAGATATCCCTTATTTTCTTCAACCTACCATACTGCACAGAAAAGAACTGTTAAAGAGCTGAATGCTTAAGAAAACTTTCAAAGTAGGTGTGTATCATATTAACTATTGTTATTTATCTACCTCAAAAACTATTCCACTAAATGCAGAGCTTTTCTTGTGATTAAAAAAAAGGCATAACTCCTTCAAACTACCTAGCTACTTCTCTAGCATCAGGGGATACTAGCAAATACAAAGCCTTTGGATTTATACTGTATTCCTTTTAGAATAGACAGCTGGAAGGGAAAAAAAAAAAAAAGCAAGCCATGCTGCAATAATTCTTCAAAAAATGCTAGCTCTGTGTCTTTCAAGGGAGAGTCAGATACAATTTAGAATCCTTCAAGTTAATTTCTAGAATACTGAAGGCAAACTTGTGGCTGGCCTACGTCAAGTAAAATGAAAATCCATTTTTGCTTTCCTGGTCTCTTTTAACACCAGAAAGCTGGAAAGATTCAATTACATTTTCCTACAATTGATATTTGCAAAGCAAAACTGAAGTTTTTTTTTTTTTTTTTTTTTTGTATTCAGCCATATTTCATGTCTCAGTTTCAAAATACAGTCATTTACCAACTGTTTCCACCAATCTACTTCTGGAAAGTTGTTTATTTCTGAAAACAAAATACTTGTTACAAGAACTGAAAATGACAGAGCACATGTTATAGTAGTGCAAGCTCCATTTCTAACCTAGATATAGAGTAAATGTTGCCAAGATGTCTCTTAGACTCTTACGGGTGAGTCTGCAGTTCTTGTAGTTCTGGTAACCTCTCAAATCCCCTTCACCTTGCTGTGTATAAATGCTGTTTCATATCTGAAGATACGAAAGATTTTCAAGATTTCTCGCCATGTGAAATAGTTCAATACTTGCAAGGACGAAGGAGCTGTGCAGCATAGCTGGAATTGTTAACACCCCTTTACACCAAGCCCATATCATACAGGTAAGTTGACCACACAGCTGAAGCTTCAAAATGAAGCAGGTCTAGTCTGGTCCATCACCTTCTACTGCTGGATGCTATGTATGTCAAAAGAGAATTCTGCCTTCCTGCAGCAAAATAACAGACATGCCAATAACCTGAAGAAAAAGGAAAAACAATACAAGACCAAAACCAAACAAATAATAAAACAAACAAACAAACAAACAAAAAAACCAAACAAAAAAAAACCCACCAAAAAAACACCAAGAGAAAAAAAAAACAAACAAAAACAAAAAAAAAAAACCACACCCCACAAACCAGGTTTAAAAAAAGCTGTTAAAACTCATTCTGTTATAAAAAGCAATCTAAACCTACTTCAGACTGATGAAAGCCTGGAGTCACTAAAACCTAAACATCTAAAGGACATAATAATAAAATGAATCAAGAAGATAGTGTCATACAGAATTATTTAATCCAACATGAACATTTATAATCAGCAGTCCAGATGATGCATAGTTAAGGTGATACAAAATCAGAATGGCTCAAAAAGTAGGCAAGCCACTGGTTTCAGTGGTATATATTACAGAATGGTTAGGATTGGAAAGGACCTTAAGATCATCCAGCTCCATCCCCCCTGCCATGATACAGAGGTGAACATGCCCTGCCTGTACTTCATGCTGGCAAGCTGGCAATGCTACCACAGTTAAGATACATCTGACCAGCTTAGCTGAAACACTCTGCCGCTAAATTGCAGGTGTGCTTCTGGCATATACGACAGCCTAGCGCTTCAAGCAGCTGGCACCTATGCTGCCACAATTTTAATGCAGTGAACTGGTCTTATTTATACCACTGGTTCCAGGGACAGTCAACTCAGTATCAGTATAAGAAACTGTGGCATCATTTTACTGCACATAACCATTTTCTGATTAGAAAGCATGTGAGGTACACTTGAAATATGCTGGTCTTCATTTCTCCAGCACTCTTGCAGTTGCAGTGCTACCTTCTGTGGACAGAGCCTTGCCTCGTTTGTCTCACTGCAGGAGAATAGCAATAAATCTGCTTTAGAAAAACAGAAAACACAGCTGGGCATGCCTTTAAAAACACAGAAGGATACAGGGCCTTAGGTATTTATCAGCTCTTCACCCATTTCTCGCGTGTATAAACTGGACCATTATTTTAGCCGACACAAGCAACTAAAACTTGCAATTCAGCTACATTTCACAGTAGCAGCTGAGGAATTGCCTCTTCGTATTTTCACTCAAGAGAGTTTCTCCCTTTCAGGAACTACAAGGTTGCAGCCTGCAGCAGCGGTTCAGAGGTTGCCCACCCCCATTCATCCCTCAAAGCCTCCCCTAGTTGGTATCCCTCTGGCACGTCTTCGCAGGTTATCTTCTCTCCGGGGACTACCACAGCTTCTCCACCCGGCGGCATACACGGGGCGGGACCGGCAGGGCCCGGAAGTCTTTGAGTTTTATTCCTTTCTGCTGCCCCCGAACCCGAAGAACTACCTGGACGTTTCCGCCATGCCTCCGGTCCCCCTGTGGGGGCCTAAACTGCGGGGGTGTCACTCTTCGCAAGCCAGGGCGTTCACAACACCCGACATAGCAGCCATGGCAGGCTGGGGACTACGCCGGGCACTATGGGGACAGCCACGGGATCACCCGGCTCCAAGACAAGCCCCGCGAGTGACCCCTGCTGGGCAGCCCGAAGCCGCCCACCTCAGCCCCTGCGAAAGCCACCGGCACAGGATCCCGGGCAGCCACAGCGCCCCACGGAGCCCTCCTATCGCGCTCCCTGATGGCAGCGCTGCCGGGGAACTGGCACGGCCCCGTGCCCTCCTCAGCGCCGCAGTGTCCCCACGGCAGTTGCTAGCGGAATCCAGCTTGGCTAGCAACCAGTAGCAGCCGAGCCGGCGCGGAGAACAGCCAATCACAGCGGCCTCAGTGGAGCGTGCCGGCGTCGGCGGACATTTTGCAGCGGCGGCATCTACGTGAGCCGGCCGCCCGTCGAACGGGAGCGCTCCCGGGCGTTCCAGGAGGAAAGCTGACAGTTGTAGAAGGGTTTGGGTTGGAAAGCACCCCTAGTCCTTTAGTCGGGAGTGTGTATCACAAAGAGGGTATACTGCAAATATATGATCTCTGCAGAACGTCAGAATTGTGTTGCTGTTAATAGTTTTTACAATACAAGGAAATTAGAATACCTAGAAAGTTGAAGTTAGTGGCTTAATGTTTTGTACCACTATGTTCAACTCCCTATTTCAGAAACTGGTAGATTCAACACTGCTGTGCTTTTACTCTGGTAAGGCATGCAGACACACTTCTGTCCATTCATCACTGACTTGTGTCTTACAGGTGCATGACTAGAGGGAGCAGGAAAATATTTTTATCTTAAGAAATCTTAGCTCCAGAAGCAGCTGAACATTACATTTTTTCTCCCTTGACTCAGCTGAAATCAGATAGCCCAGGCATGACCGATGGGGTGAAGCTCAAATACATTTGACAGAGAAGAGTTTTCAGACCTCCCTTAGGATGGCTTCCGTCTCAAAAGGGAGCTAGACACATACTTACTAACATCCAGAAGGTAAAAGCAGCCTATTTTCCCTTCTGTCTTGACTTGGAAATTTCAGTCTGCTTTGTGAGAGACCAGTGATGAAAGATTAGGCACAGCTTTTTTTAAGCGTAGCTAGTAATATTTTTCTTCTAGCACTAAACTAATACCATCCAGCCAAACCATATAGATTGTTGTGCATTAGAGTAAAATCAACTTACTGTAAAGTCTAACTGCTGACTGCCATAAATATTAGTAAGTTTACACCCGTACAAGGTGTGGCCCCTACAACACACAGAAACTTTTCTGACAACTAACTTATAAACTACAAATCTATATTACCTCTATCACAAGCATGGAAACAGGTCATTTCACTGATCCTGTCCATTAGAAATTCCCTAGGGTACCCTGTGGAGCAACCTCCAGGACCAATTTAGGTATGGCCTTCATGCTTCAGGGTACTCTAGGCAAATAACCTTAACCACCGCTTTTGATCTAGCAATATCAGCTTTCAGTGAATGACTGGTCCATTGCATGACAATGCTCCCATGAAAACCTCATCAAATTATTCATACGTGGGGAATGAACTCATGTATGAAGAACAGCAAGTGCTCAGAAGCAATATGCCTTTTAAAAGTATATAAAAAAAAAAGCTATAAAGCATTTTTCTGTAGTATGATTTTAAACATCTTTGTATACTTGCAAATGTACGACAGATATGGAAGACAGTGTCGAATTTGTCAATTTAACTGTAGTAATAAAAATCCTACATAAAGACTGGGGGGGGGGGGAAATATGTGTTTGTTAGACATTTTGAGTCTCATCATCTCAAAAAGCACAAAAAGAAGATATAATGATCCTAAAATAACGTTTGCTCTATTTGAAACATCTGCTCCAGTCTCCACTTCTAATTCTCTTGTGTTTTCATTGTTTCCCAACATCTTAGAACGTATTACTAAAAACAATATAAAATTAGACATTTTCTAAGTTTTCAAGGCAATGGGAAGGAGGAAGAAACACAGATCTTGGCACTCATCCATAGAAATTAAAACATGCTACAGATAGCAATGTTTACCACTTAGGCAGTTTCTTTACAGCATCTTCTGCTCTCAATTCAGAACCGTTTCACAGACCTTCCACTCCCTCTAAAGACATTTCTTTGGATCCTACTGAGAACTCTAAAAGTTAGGCTTAAACAACAGTAACAGGAACAAAAAATGAAACAAAAAAGCCACCCTCAGACACTCATATTATCATTGTCTTTTGAAGAACTTTTCTCTGACAAAATGTACTAAACTGCCATAATAAAATATTAGACTCTGACTATGATGAGGGGAGGGCAGATGATTGTTTTTTAAAGGTATTTGGAAGACATTTCCAGTCTAATTTTGGGACTATTTCTCATAGGAAATGAATAGATACCGTGCACTAGTTTTGTCTGTAAGGTAAATGATTGGATTCTGCAATTGTGAAGATACTGGGTCTTTTTTATACAAGAACACTGAATAATCCAAAGCAGAAAACATGACAAAAGAAAAAAAGCATTCCAAAGAGACAATGCTATAAGCAAAATATCTAACTCAGAAAATACTTTGATTTCAACTAGCTATCTACTTTTATATAACTGTTGTTCAAGCTGTGGATCTAATTATACCCCCATATACAATGGTAAGTCAGGAACTTCAGACATAATTCCAGCCATGGTAAGAGAGAGGCACAGTAGTCATAGTTCTGTGTGCACTGTGATGTTCCTTCATATAACAGTCTGATGATATCTTTTAAGGCAAAGCTCCCATTATCACTACACTTATTCAACATACATTTCTCAAGGATAATTTTTTAACTGTGATACTCTTCCCGTAACAGTCCAAACACAGAAAAGCTCAGGGCACTCAGAGGTTCAAGACCAGTGATTGTTTTCACCATTGTATTGACATTATGTATGGGGACTGGATTCAACGAGTAAAGGCTAGTATCACCATGTAATCTTTGTGGTTCATAGAAAAAGAGGAGGTGATGATGAAAAGGATTAGTGAGCCAGCTGTATCTCCCAAGAGCTGCTGAGTGAATTCAGAGGCAATTAAAAGTATTGCACCTTTTACAAGGTATGGCCCCAAGGGCTGTAACAGAAGTGATGACAAATGGCTGTTTCAAACTGTGGGACTGAGAAGATGAGGAGATGCACGGGCTTGTGAATACGGTAGTCCCTGCTGGTTAGAGAGTGAAACAGGGATGCAGCAACTTGTCTGCCACTGTCATACTGTCCTCATTGTGAGGTGAAAAATATGAGTTTCCAACAGCTGAATGGGCTGTGTGCTCCACAGGAATGAATGAAAGTCCTTGCCTTCTTAAGAGCAAAATAACCTCAGCACCAGTGAAAAGCTTTCATAGTCTCACGTAAGTCACAACACACCTTGCAGATCCTGGCTCAAAGTACTAGACAGAATTAAAAATAATAATAAAAACATTGCGGTAAAAGTGAAAACTGCAGAAACCGTCATAACCAGATCACTGTATCCCTTTTATACTTTCCAAAATGAGATTTTCTCCCTTGCTTTAAGGGGTGATCCAAGATTTGTGCATGACAGCAACTGTGAAGAAGTGAGAGAAGATAGAAGTTAAGCCCTAAAAGAACACTGTCAAGACTTTCTCTTCTTTTATACATCAGAATGAAGGTTGTGGGTTTTTTTTTTTTTGTTGGTTTGTTTGTTTTTTTGTTTCTTTTTTTAAGGTGTGAGAGCATTATATAAGAGCCACCACCTCCTTTCCCTTGCCAACCCCCCCTATTTTCAAGTGCTCATTTTCCTTGTGGAAATCTTTTGTTCATTTGTAGTTAGTTGGCTATCCTGGGTGTCTGGGTGTGAGACTATAGGACCAAAAAAATGAAATTTGAAATCCCCCCAAACAAAACCCATCCAGATTACAAAAGCAGCAGAACTACTTGTTTTTTGTGTGTGCGCGATTCACTTCATTATGTTTGACAGCATCTAGGAGAATGAAAAATGTATCTATAAACATAGAAACAAACAGGGCTGTACATTCCAGCTGTTACTGCTGCAAATTTGTTGCCCACATTTATATCACCCTGACTCTACATGCAGCATACAGCTTCTATATGCATTCACCTTCAGTGGAAAGTTCACTTTTCCACATTACAGCAGAGGCTGAGGTAACAACATAGACTCCCTCATCACTGAAGTTCCCAGACAAGTTTCTTTTTCTTGTTCTGTGCTTCAAACTAACCCCTCTTTCCCAGAGCACTACTGTCTTAACATACTTATGTGTAACACAGATTAGACAGATTTAAATGCAGTGCAAATGGGAATAGAATAAACAAGAAACTACAGCAGAGGCGTACGAGTCTAGTAAATTCTGGAAGCAACAGGATACAGGCTAAAGTCAAAGAGGAAGGGATATTGATTTATCCAACCAATTACCATTTTCTTCTTATAAAGTTTTCTCAAATTATAGTTTTCCATTGATTAACTAGATGTTGGCAAGATGACAACGCAAACTCAGAATCAGATAGGACATGACCCTCAAAAAGTTCTGAAGGAAACAGAATGAAGTCTTCTCTGTCTGAAAGGTTTTCTGATGAATCTTCTCCGCTCGTATTCCATTTGCTTAAGGTCACTGGCACCAAGTGGCAAAGAGAGGTCAGATAATGCCATGGCTATACCCTGGCCTGCCCCAAATGCTCTATTGCCCACTAATGCCTGTATATCAGAATAGAGCAGGTACCTCAGCACCGCAGCCTTCACAGTGATAGGGGCCTGCTAGTTGCAGTGCCCGTTTTACCCAAGCTGTGCTGGCAGTGCCTCCCGCAGCATTATTTTCCCCTCCTGCAGCTTCTGTGATTCTGCAGGTCTCATGCCTTGCACCTGCAAAGCCTCATAGTGCTGTTGAGGCAGGTATGGACCCTGCTAATATATCTTTCTGTATGAGAATCTGCTTCAACATCCTACATTATGCAGCTGTCAGGCTGCCAAAAACCAGCCTATGAAATCCCTAAAGATTTGCAGGCATTTTAATGAAACAGATTTCGTTTTCATACAGTCTTCCCCCAGCCTCCCAAAAAGCTCCACCTTGTAATTTCCAAGCCATAATCTGTTGCTGAATTCCTCTTTACCCAGTATTAAATGTGTAGCTTGTTGAAACAAGGAATGAGAGCTTCAGAAGGAATTGTAGAGAATGTCAGTCATGTGGGATAACATAGGATGAACCAGTACAAGCCTACTGCAGTAGTAGATCCAGCACATTACTGGCAAAACGTGCTTTTTGTTTCAGGTCTCCTGGAAGTATTCTATCAGGTGGAAAAATCTTACTAACATAGGAATTTCATCTCACCTCCTGTCAGTCTAAATTGCTGCCTTTCCAACTCACCTCCAGACATACACTATTGCTACAAGCACAACAGCTGTAACTGGGCAGCTAAAGTTGTATACAACCTGGAGCAGAGGCATGTTAACCACGTTCTCTGACTATCCTTTTTCTCTTCCGGTGAAACAGTGAAGTTATGATTTGCATTTGGAGGTGACTTGCCCAGGCTACAGAATGCTGCATATTCACAGCCAATGCATTGTTCCTGCATGTGACTCTTCTGCTTGCCTCAAAGCAGCAGTACGTTTCGACTCCTGGAGGCCCAGCTGCATAAGCAGCACCCTGTTGATGCAGGGTCTCAAGTGAGATGGTGGTGCTTCTGAATGGGAAATACTTGCCTCCTGCAGTCACTAGGCAGCAGCAGAACCAACTATTTTTGAAGGCCCTTGTTAACCAGGCTTACTTCCTCCTCCCAAGGGCACATTCTTCCCAGAGTGCTGTACAATCGAGGTAGATGTTGGCACTATTCTGTCCATTCTCCTGTGCACCTTAGACTGTTTCCTGATATGTAAACTTCCAAACTATGAACAGATGCATGCAGGAGCTGAAGACAAATAAGGTAGTTTGAAAATATCACAAACATACATTCACAGCACTGGAAAGTGGCATGCAGACAAATATTCCAAGACAAGGTTACAAAGACCCAAGTTATTTATATGCAAAGCAAGTTGACAATTTAAGCTCACACATAAATTTTACATTATTTGGAAAGTAAGAAACAGTAAAAATCCACATTATATATTTGTAAGTAGTGGTCAGTTAGATTAGCACTACCAATAAAGCGAGCAGTTTGTATAAATTATTTGGCAGATTCTAGGTTTGACTGGTCACGCTACTTCAACTATGTTGACTTCTTTACTATTGCTCTACTTTGAATTAGCAGAGCAGCAGAATTAGAGCCTTTACCTGTTATTTCCAGTGGAAAATAACAGGAGGGTCTGATGACTATTGAGCTAAAGATACAGGCAGTAAAATACTTACGTTTTTGTCAATGGACTTCCCTAAGGCTCATATCACTGTGTGACACTTTTCCAACATTTACTATGAATTTCTATAGTATTTATTGCATCCATTCACCTGGAGTTCATTTAATTAGCAAGACACAATCTTTAAAGAGCATGATCCACTGATTCTGCTGTTCTCACTCAGTAGCAATCAACCTCTACTGCTGTATTATATTTTAAAAGTGTTTCTGCTCTTTCACTTCAAACATTTTCTGATCTCTGGATGCTTGAATGACTAGTCCTTGGGTTCTTCATGCACTTTTCTCGAATCCCAGCGAGTCCTTTTTCCTCTTGTTGCCCTACAAAACCAACACAGCAGTGTACCCAAGTACCAAGAGGTGAGGTCTTGTGTAAGCAAGTCTTTTGCTGTCAGACATGCTGCTATTTGGGCAGTCATAGCTGAACAAGATATTGCAAATCCCTCATAGGGGAGGATCTAAGTCAAGTTTCACAGTGACTGTGAATGACTACACTCTACTTCAGTATAGTTTTGCTGAATACAGAACTAAGATTAATGTATACAGACTACACTGTACCTATACCAGATTGAGGATAAGGTGACAGACTACTGCATATAAATTCACATGGATTAACACATCCAGAGACTGAACTGTATCTGAATACTTTGCTGCTGAGAAGGATACTCCCAATACAGATGATTTTTGTACTTTGGTACTTTATAACAGTTCTTTCAGTCTGCACCTTCGTGTTAAGTGTCCATAATAAATTGCAGACAATCATACTTTCACATCAGGGGCTTTGATCACTCAGAAGAACAGAATGATGACAAGCGTATGAATTTTCAGCACACCTTCAAAATGTCATGGCCCAAGTACATCCCCACTCCTGAAGGCTTGGCTGGCAGGGCTAAGGCCATTGTAGCCACACACTGACACATTCCTTCAGTGACCTGGGACATGGCCCTCCCAATACGCAGTGAATACCTCAGCCAGGACTGATTCTGTGCCCATAAAAGCAGCTTTTAGGCTGAGCCTTGATATTTGACCCCTGCCTAAGCTACATGTATGACCATATCACAGCCCTGCCTGTGCCCAGCTATGGGCCCTCTTCATCTGGACGTTGACTCAGGCTGACATCCCAGTTGGGGCTCAGTCCTGCTGCACCACTCTGGACTTGCTTAGTGATAAATGGACTGCATCTGACCCTGGTTACCTTTTCTGGGCCTGATCCTGGTCCCTGGCTCAGGGGACCAGTGGGACAGCCCTGCCAGGAGAGGCCCCTGCCCTGCCAGCCAATGTGTCCCCCTGTGGCACCCTGACTGCACAGTGGATTAAAGCAATGAAATAAAGAGGCAGCATATATAAATGGTGAATTATGACTACTACATCATCCACTGTGTGGACTGTGGATGGAAGATGAAAGTTTTAGGAACTTCTTCCTTGAGCAATACCCATTCCCCATTTTACAGCCAGTGATGCTTCCAGTGCATTCACTTGGACATGGGAATATACCTCTCTACAATGCTTGCAATTAAAAAGCAGTAAAGGGGGGGGGGGGGGAAGCTGGTCTATACCAAAGTCATGCAGAAAAGCTAAGCTCCAATATCCTGATTTATTACATTACTTTTAATACTTTCTTCTTGGGAGGGATACGTAGTACCAAGGAAGATGAATGTGTGGCCCATTAAGATCTTAAAATTAGGTGATTCTTGATTGTTTTAATCATTTATTTCTCTTTTATCCAGACGACTGACCTTCCCACAGTTTGAAGTACTTTTAGTATAAATACAAAACCAGTCAGAAGACTGTTGTTATAAATCTTCATTTCACTCTGATCTTTGCTGATGAAGACAAGCCTAGTGAAGTTACAAGTAATTGACTACTAATACCATGAATTGTCAAGTGTTTTTACTGAAGTGTGTGGAAGAGAGGGAGTATATAATTAATTCTAGAAACACATATCTTAAACTTCCTATTCTCTTCTTACTGTGAAGATTACAGCATTTGTGTTTTAAATGCTGTGTCCCATATAGTCTTCAGTAGGAGAGTACTGCATGACTACATGCCGACACAGAAACAATTTGGTTTCAGCCTTCCAGAGGTGAAACAAGTACTTCTGCAGAGTGGATTATACAAATGAATTGATTACACAGACATCTCTAAACTTGTTTACAAGAACTCCCGTCCTAAGTGACAACTCAAGCTTGAGACCAAACCCATCACTGCCTTTGAAAGCTGCTATTAAAGCCTGTGCAGTTCAGTGCAGCTGCATTAAAGCCTTTGAAGTATTAGTGGAGCCACTGAACTGACAGCAGACTAAGTCAAATTCATCTG